GTCCCCCTTTCAGTGGGATGAATCCTTCTTCGGGGCTCGGTACCAGGCCTTCGCATCCTCCGAGCGCCTGGGTTTTCTCACCTCCAATCTTTATGGCCGCGGCCCCGGGGGGCTTCGGCTTTCGGCTTCGGGGGATTCGCTTCGGCTTCGGGCGCAAGAGGCGCGATTTGCGCTCGCTGCAAAAGGATAGAGTGAGTAAAGCCAAGAGCAAGAGGTAGGTCATGACCTAAGCCCAAAGCCAGCGAACAAACAAGCTCAACAATCCAGGCTCCTCGTAGACGTCTTCCACATCTTCCAAGATCTTCTCCAAGCCTCCCATTGTTGGCGGCCTGCATCCGTAGAGAAAATTCGGGCCGACTTGCTTCGAGAAGCCGGTCTCGGGGAACACACATGATTCTAGGGGTTGAAATTCCAATTCCATTCTTTTCGACCATCGTTCTTTTCAAAAACCAGCCCTTTTTCCTGGGATTCCGGAGGTTTTCTAGAAGCAAGGATCCCTGGAAAGAATGGGGGAAGGTACCCCTAGAATGATTGAAACATTGAAGGAAGGCCGCTGCAAAATCTCCAAGGGCTCAGTTTTTTCTTTTTGTTTGGTTTAGTCTTCTTCTATTAAGGAACATGGTAAGCGCACAGACTCCTTGCAGACGAGCGCCGTTTCACCTTGTCATGGAACCTGTTCTAGCAGGAAGGAACACCCGTTCGGGAATGCCCAAAAACAGTACAGAAACAGAAACCTACTTCCAAAGGGGCAAATGCCTGATTAATCAGACCAGCGCCTGATTTTGCAACCCCCAGGTGTAGGGGGTTTTGTAACCCCGGATTGGGAAATTATCCTTTGTGGTGTTACTTTCAGATTGCTTGTATTCCCCGGGTGTAAGCCTCAGAACCAGCCCAAGGGGTCATGCCCAAGTTTATGTCGCCTGCTTTTTGATCAAAGGAATCTGGGGAAACCGTGGATTGGCCCACGATTTGAACTAGATATCAGATCTGGTGAATAAGTTGCAAAGTCTGCTTGCTTGCTACTTTGGGACTGGAAAGCTGGACGCCCATGGACAAGCACCGTCTTGTGGGCTTTAGAATGTCTTTGCTGGAACAAGCAGTGATGTGGTTGAGTCCCGGCATATTGCAAGTAACAACATCCAACCACAAAACCCTCCCTTGCACCCCTAAAATCCGGAGTGTCAAGTACCAACCTAAAACAAAGCAAGCTGCTACAGTGACACGGCAACTGAAGTGTTTCCTTCTAAGCGTTTGTGTTTCCGGAAGCCTCAGCAGTACAACAATCCACAGGCTGGGCGGCAAGTTTGGAACCCCAACCCGCCCCTTTCGCTGAGCAGACCTTACAAAGCGGGTTTGTGACATCAACCAAGGGGTTTGCGACGTCTGCTGTGGGCGACCTTGCCGCGGGTTGTGTGACCTTACTATATGGTCTCCGGGTTACTTCCGTTGATACCAGTTGGCCTCCAGTTGCATTAGTTAGCGAGCTGGGATAAATTGGTCTAGTGGTCACGAGCTGCGCGAAAACCAAAAACAGCTTGAACAGTTAGTTTTGGAGGTTGGAAGCAGGTAAAACAGTTGTCTTTTGAGTTTTTGCAAGTCAGAACGTAGAACATACAAAGTTACATATAATTGCAAAGACAATGGATACACAAAGCTCAGACACCTTGTAGGTATGCGGAGGGATATGTACATACATGTCAAATATTTTGATGTTTCAAGACGGCAGTCGCAGCCTGAGCGATGCTACAGCAACGCGGCCTGCGTTTTGTTGCGTTTGCCTCCTTCGTAAGAGTGGGTGCTGAGAAGGCTAGGCCGCTTGCCTTGAATCAGTTTAGACCAGGCGGAATTTTCGCAAGCTCACGCTGCTCATCTGGTTCCTTTGCTTGCCAACCCACCAGCTTAGACCAGTCAGAGCTCTCACCATTCTTCCATTTGCTGAAATGAACATGTTTTTTGTTTTTTCCCTTGTTGGTTTTCACGGGAATCTAGCACTAATGGAAATATTGTTATTTTTTCCCGGGGGCTTGAGCAAATGGAAGCATTGCAAAGATAATCTAGCTGGCGCCAAGAGGTTGTAAGTGGCTTTTTGACGAGCCTGCAGGTGCAGTGCGCGAGCAGGGCGTGCTAACGAGTGGACTGTGCGAGTGACTGCGTGAGCGCGCATGGACGGGCGAGCGAGCGGACGAGGGGACGAGTGACTCGCACACTCGCACTCCCTATTCGCAAACTTTCACTCGCGCAGAAACAAGTTTTTTCTTTTTTTTGACAGGCAATTTAAAGTAGTATTCGTGAGCCAAAAGAGTCAAAGACCGTATTTCTGCGCGAGTGAAAGTGCGCGAGCAGGGCGCGCGAGTGTTCGAGTCTCTTGTGCACTCGTCCGCTCGCTCGCCTGTTCCACTTGCACGCTCGCGCAGTCCACTCGCACTCTCGCACGCGCTACGTACTCGAACTATCAAATTTGTGCCTTACAACCCCTTGGATCCAGCTAAAAGCCGCGCGAACTTGTGTATACGATGTTAGGTATATGTGACAAGGCCTTGCCCCGCCTTGCCCCACTATTGTGTCAAACCTTCATAGCGCTTCTAGGTCCTCCAGTAGAGAGGTTAGAGTAAGGGTGCCCTTTATTCTGTAGTCTATTTTAGTAGGTGAACCCTCCCAACCAAAAAAGGGGGTGAGAAAGGGCAGGTAGCTAGCGGATTTAGATTTTTATTTTCACATCTCTTGCAAGTGCTAAAGCCCCTCCTCCGGATTCGATTCCACAGCCTTGAGGTCTGGGATGCAGCTTGCAGGACTGCTTCGGGGCAGAGGGTCCAGGCTTCAACCTGTCAAGGGGTTCTACAGTGACCTTGTTAACTATCTGTTAACTTGACTGCTATTGGGTTGGATCTTTAGACTTTAACTTTTCGGTTGAAATGAAAGGGTTTTCCACTAAACCCCCAAAAAGTTGAACTTTTTGCAGGGGGGTCAACAGCAACCAAGTTAAGGGTTCCTCCCCCCCCCCAGGGGCCCAACAGTTCTTTTGTGCAGGCCTCGGGCCTTTGTCCCTGAGCCTCAGCTATCTTCCAAGCAGTTTATCGAAATGCCACAGCTGGTTGGCCCCACCCGTAGCTTTCTCACCTGCGTTCGTGCGGGCGGGAGAGGCAAACCGACTCAAACGTGCGACCCACCAAGAAACCTTTTGGGCAGGGCGTTCGCCTGCACGGTTCTGACGTTTGCGTGGTGTAGCCATCCTTTTTGGTTGGTTGCGTTTTCGGCACTGCTTGATGTTGAAAAGGGATTTCATGGGTGACACAGAAGGGTTTCCGGGTCTCTTGCCACAAGTGAATGGGTGCTTTGTTTGCAGCTAGCGCTGTTTGGTTCAACGCCAATGCTGCGCGAAGATCTTTTGGCAGGGACTGCACTTCACTGTTCAAGATCTTGAAGCCACCATAGTTTTCCGTTGTCTCCTTCCCTCTAGAGGCGACCAGGGTGTCCTTCTCGCTCCTTTGGTTTCTCTTTAAAGCGGCCAGCTGAGCTCGGCCGAGGTTGGGCTGGGCAATGCAGAGCTTCCTCCGCACCAAAGCTGCTTTTTCAACACCTGGTCGGCGGGTATTGTTGCACATTCGTGCTCCAATTGAGCAACAGGTGGATCCCAAAAGGGGGCAAGGGTGGTACCATCAGAGTTTCCTTTGCGTTGTACGTTTCGTACTCCAACCAAAGTGGGGGAGTTTCCTCTAATGTGTGGGGTGGCTTCATGTTCCATGCCAATCGCGAGCCACTCTCCGCGTTTTCCGTTGCCAGGCCTCCGCGATCCTCAAGCTGCCGCGGCTGGCAGCCATGGAGGTCGCGACGGGCCCGGGTTGCTTTGGAGAGGTTGGGCCGAAGCTGGGTGCAACAGCCGTAGCATGTGCGATAGATACGCGTTACAATGAATAAGTAGCGATATGTTGTTTGCATGCCCATGTTTTGGATTTAGTATGATAACACCAAATTTGCTGCAGTGTGGAACCCACAGACAAAAGGTGGTGGCCTTGTCGGTACTGCACATTTGTAACATGTCTTTTGCACCTGTGGGTTTCTGTGTTTCCTTCGTCTTTGTTTGGGGGAAAATCTGACTTGTCGTTCCTCGTTGGCCCATCTGCCATGGATACTTGATCGCCTCCACCAGTGGTGAACATGAAGGTTTCCCAAAGCCTATCCCCAAAGGTGGTTTCATGAGCCAAGTGAGTCACAATCAACACCCGGGTTAGTAAGGGGCGATCCCAACCAGAAATAGCTGCGGCCGCCTTCTAAATTCTTTGCATGCTTCTGGGATTACGACCATTTTAATTCCGGGGTTTGATTGTGACTCAAGCCAATGGGATCCCATTTTGGTTGGATTGGGTGAATTCACCACCCAGTTTAGAGCCTGTTTTAGTGGTTGGATTGGGTCCAGTTCACGGGGGGCTAACCGATCTGGATTTTGGCCGGCCAGCTATTGGCCCCATTTACCAGGGGAAACCAATCTGGCCCACCTGGTTTTGACCCGTGTGAGCCAAAAGGTCTTCGAGCGCCTCGGTTTCGGTTTCGAGACTCGGCCAGGTGTCTCATCCCAGCAGCGCAGCTGGAAGCTGGAGGACGGAGACAGGGTGTGATGACACGGGTGTCATGAAGAGGATTCCTTTAGGTGACACACCAAAAGGTCACCTGACACAACAGCCTTTCCAGCTGGCCACGGTGCTTAACAATACATATGGCCATATATATATATATATATGTGCTTCATTCATGTAAGGACCCCGATAAAACTGTTTCTACCACGGCCCTCCAAACGGGTGTGTTTGGGGCTTGGGGGCTGTCGGGGATACGTAGTCCGCGCTCGCGGGATTTTGATTCCCTCCCTGAACTTTGGGTGATGTCTTCAGGGACAGCGACAGGAAACCATTCTGGTTGTATTGGCTGCCTATGTTTGATCAACACGGAGAAGGCTTTCTATTTCTGCTTACGCTGTAAGGCAACACTCAAAAAGTCAACAACAGGTAGTCACCCCTTTGTGTTCGAAGAAACTTGTCTAAAGTTCCATCATCCATGGTTCGTGGTCAGGGGTACAATCTTGGCCTCTATTTACTTCGTGCCGCCATCGGATCGGTAAGGTGATCCTTGATGGGTAGTTGCATGAGCGCACGGCATAGATGAGTGTGCGTCGTGGGCCGTGTATATTTTTGTTTTTGGAAAACCAAAGGGGCCGCCTCACACGGAGGTGTCAAGACTCTTTTTTTTGGCAGGGCTCCTTAAAAGATCTCCATTTTTCAACCATTTGAAGCATGTTGCTTTTTCCACACCAAAACAAAGGGAGACCACCATTTACAAGTTGCAATGTTCGATCGGTGTTTCTACTGTAAGGATCCCTGTTTGGGGAGTCCTTTTGCGACGAAATCCGACCCTCGGAGTGCTCTGAACCTGGTAGGTCGTGGGCGGGCCTGATGCGAGTCCAGGCAGGCCGTTTCTGGGTCCGGGCGTGCGAACGCGGGCCACGTGAGTTTTGTTTGACCCCCCCCAGACCCTCCCAGTGTTAGGGCTCTTTAGAATGGTTTGGACCAACATAGTCTGAATATATGGGTGTGGGTCAAAATTAAACCACTAGGGGACAGCAGGTGTGAGTAAAATGTTTCCATTTGCCAAGGCTCCATGTTGGTCACCTATTTTTGACCCACAGCCATATCTTTTCTGGTGGCAACATATATCGCCAAACCCCTCCAGCACAAGTTTGTTGGGCGTCGTAACCGAAGCCTTATGTTCTCTCCGCCTGCCTGACAAATTCCTTTGTTTGTGGGGGCAATTGGACTCGGCACTTGCTGTAGTAGACAACTCATATTCACGTTAGATCATGAAGACATATTCATATGAGTGTTTCTCAAAAAGCTAGGTTGTGCTTTCCGCGCTTCACCATTTGCGCTGGTTTCTAGCTGGCTGTTACCTGCAAGAAATGCCAAGGGGCCAGGCCCAGGCATGCTTTTCCCCTATCCTTCTGTGGGATCTTGTTTGACACTCATATTTGTTCGCTAGATATGGACGCGATCTCAACATATGGACAGTTGGGGACCAGGGCTGGGTCCGAGGTAGATCCAAAACGTGCCACCCAACAACATGGCCACCATTGCCAGACTGAACTAGCTTTCATGCACGTTGGCCATCATAGAACTTTTCCTAAGACCACCCAAACAGTTTGTCATTCCTACTGTGGATGGACGCAATCCTGCACCACCTAGGGCTTCAAGAACCTGTAAAAATGTCGTACCCTGACTAAAACATCGTGTTTTTTCTCGATTTTCTGAAAACATCGTGTTTTCAGGAAAACATTGTTTTTGATAAAACCCCTTAACAATTGGCTTCTGAGGCCAAAAACTCATTTGGAGCAAAGGGTCAAAGGCAAGGGTCGGGAGTGGATTCACACAGGCATCACCCATTAAGATTTCAACTGAGGGCAACGCTCTATACTGAGTATGCTTCAAATTCTAAGGACCACATTGATGAGCCTGACAGCCAGGGTGTGCAGCTGGCTTCAGTCTTGAAGCACCTTTCACAGCAACAGGCACCTGAACACTGGCGCCAGGTCATACCGAACCAGTTTGAAGGGGGTGCTGGAATCCGAAAGCTCCTTTTGGTGCAAAACAAGACCAGGTGACACCTTTTGAGATTGTTTTTATATTTTTTGATGTTTTTTTAAGAAAATGGGGCGGGATCCTGGCGGCTAACCGCAGAAACCCGTAGAAAACCCGTAGAAAACCCGTAGAAACCCGTAGAAAGCCCGCAGCCCCAACCGAAAACATCGTGTTTTCTAACCCGTAACTAAACCGTGGAGAACCCGTAGTAAAGCGTGGCAAACCGTGGAAATTCTATGGGTTTTTCGGGTTCAACCACGAATGCGCTAATTCGAGAATGTTGCTGGAAAACAAAGAAGTCGTGAGCAAAAGCACGGTGTTTGCTTGAGCTCTCGCGCTGTTCGAAGCCAGCAAGCCCTCATCATGGCATTGCTGCTTGACAAGTGTCATAAAACCGTGGTACTTTTGACTATTTGGGTCCCCGGCCTCCTTCTTTCAGATTGGAGTTGCGAAAGACGAGTGGCGAATGCGAATGATTTCGTTACGAGCGCAAAAGGGGAGGGCGATTGGAGATTCTGAGGTTGAGATGATGCTTTTTTGAGAGCTTTTGAGAACGGATGACGAGTTGAAGGAATGTATGGGAAAATGTTTGAAATCGAAAATGCAGTGTTTCCCGAAAACATCGGGTTTTCCCAAAAAACATCGTGTTTTTTGTAGGTATGACATTTTCATCGGTTTTTGAGGTTCCTGGCAGATTGAAATCATGAGAAACCATTGTTTGTTGCCGGTTTCAGGGCAAACCACTGTAGGGGGTGTGTTTCAGGGGGGTGGTGTTTGGGGGGGGGCAATCCGAGGTGGAGCCCGTGAGCAGCCTTGATGGACACGCCGTCCAGGCCTTGGCTGATCTCAACCAGAAGTTCCCCTAAAAGAGACATATACATATTATGTTATGTTATGTATATGTATATATCAAAGGTAGGTCATGGTTTGGTTGACCATATCTGTATATACATATAGAATAATATATATATATATATATGTGGAAGTATCTCCAACATAGTGGGCCGCCTTTGGTTTTTGATTGGAAGCTAAAAGGAAGCCACTCATCTCAGGACTTTTTTCCGATTCCAAGGTGCGAGTTGACCCGAGCGCAGAGTTCTAACAAACACGCCTCTTGGAAGTTCTACAGGACACCCGTGGGAATTTGGTGGGAACTTGGGGTTGGGGCTGTAACACCAAGAAGCCAGCTGCAGGAAAATGTGCAGGAAATCCTTGTTGTTGGTGGGAATTTGGCTCGTTTCCTGTATAATCTCCCTGTTTGCTGGCTTCTATGAACAATACCTCGGGGGCTCCTGCTTCCCCACTTGAAAATCTGAGAGTCATCCCTCGTGGGCAAGGCTGGAGCCAGGCACCGAATGTGAGTTGGGACTTGCCCAAAGCAACGGTGGTTGCCCCTTCAAACAACCTCATTGGGGGGGGGGTTCCTCAAAACAACCCAACATTTGTTATTTTTTATTTATGTCTTCCTTTTTTTTGGGTGGCGGGGGAGCCTCACACAGATGACTTACCCTTGGCCGCATGAGGTTGAGGGGTGCTTCAAGATCTCCAACATGGACACATTCAACGTGTCGGATGCGGAAGTGCTGGATGTGGTGCACGAGGCGCGCACGCTCCTTTTCACGGTCCTGTTTAGACCTCGCCGCCTTGCCGCCTGAGTACCAAACAAGGACCCCTATTGCTTGCTGGGGCCCAGCAGGCAACGAGAAATGGAATGCCCCTTACAAATCAGCCCTTGTGGTTTCCTTTGGGGACCCTGACCGACGTCGACACTGCTCCATGACATGTTTGGATCTTGCTGCTTTAGTTGGTATTCAATTAAAGAAACCTATGGTTGAATATATATATATATATATGCCTTCACGTTGGTGACTAACCTCCAGTTAGTGGCGTTTTTGGTTAGTGCGGCCGATGTGATGACTGGCTGTTTGACACGGCACCTAAGAAGGGGTCCACCAAATTGGAATTCCTCAGTGCAGTTTTGGCTGGGATTTTCCATGTATTTGGGAATCGTAGAACCTGTGGCTGACTTCCTGAACTTGATTCGCTTTGGGGTTGAACCATTTTAGCAGCAAGCAAAACACTATGTTTCTTGTTTTGTGGTGCGATAGGTAGGAAAGGTGGGAATGAACCCAGAATATCCCCTCAGAGGAAACCACAAGTGATGGTTTAAATATAAGGGTCATTCCATTTCTCATTCCCTGCCTATCGCCCCAGCAAGTTTCATGGCCAGCCAACGAGGAAACGAGGCGACGTCTGCCTTCGGAGCACCTCGGAAAGCGCTATGGCAGGTCGCTGGAAGGCTCATCCTGGCGGAGCAGCAAATCACGAGTTTGGCTGACTCGGTGAGGGGCTGAGACATTGAAGTGGCGGAAATTTGGACATAACAAAAACCTCATGGTTGATGTTGGGAAACATTTTTCCCCATTTTTGCTTCTTGTGGTTTAGTGGTTGAAATCCCCACTGAACTGCTACAATTTATTTCTTTGCTCCCCTGCCAACGTCAACCAAGGTCTATGGGTTTGGTCTATGGGTCTTACGTACTTTTTCGTCGAGCATTGACCCTTTGGTGGACATCGATGTCGGGAGTTACACCCGAAGAGTCCTCAATGATAGAGCAACCCCCTTTTCGGAGGAGTTTGGGAAACTAAAAGCGGAGTTGTCAAAACAAGGGACTCCTTTGCTTGCTGGTGCTCAGAAGGGAATAAAGGAATGACCCGTTTTCCCCATCCCTTGTGGCTTTGACAAAACCCCTCGGTTCATTCCATTTCTCATTCCCTACTCGTACCGATCGCAAGTGTTGGTACTTTGGAGTCGGCACCCACCGTCATGTTGGACACCGAAAAAGACGGCCGCCCGGCTACCTCCAGTTTCTCGTTGGCGCCTGCCAGAATGCATGTTTGTCCCTCATCACAACTCCCAAAGCTGGGGTCTCCAACACATTGTTTGGTTGTTGTTTTTCTTTTTTGTTGGGGGGGGTAGACTAGATATGGACAATTTATTTGAACATATAAATATATATATATATAGATATACAAAGTATACATGTGTAGATATATATATATATATATATATGTATGTGTTTTCTTTGGTATACCGCAGATTTGGCCCAGAACCAGGACCTTGGAGACTACGTTGCCGACATCTTGACAGACCCTGGCAACCCTATTGGAAAGGGGTCAGTCTTCCAAAATGGGTCATCCCTTTATAGGTCTTTAAAGCGATACCAAAAGCTAGGTCGCCCAGTAGTGCCCTTCTCTCCCCTTTGTTGGGGGAGGGTTCCCCTACTAAAGTAGACAAAACCGAAGAAAAAGTTGGTACCCTGATTCTATCCTCCATACTGGAGGATAGAGAAAGAAGCCCAGCATGTCGCTTGAGATCCATTTCGAGAACCCCCACTAGGACTGGTGAGCTGAGGATGCGCTTTTCCCCATCCTCACCTCAGTGCTGTCGGCCGCCAAGGAGGCGCCAGCTTACCAGAATTTGATGGGAATATCGGAATGTCCATGCCCTCCCCTTTCTCTAGGGGTACCTTCCACTTCCATCCTTTCCAGGGATCCTTCTTTTCAGGAAACCATCAACAACTTGGAGGAAACGGCCGGTATTTGAAACGTTTCGGTTTTGTCAGGTAAAGCGAATGATGAGAGGAATTGAGCATGCGTTGTCAGTCCATTGTTATTATTATTATTATTTCGGGGGGGGGGACCATATAGGTAACCTTTGCCCTTCAACTTATATGAGGGGCCAAGATGCCCTGAGTGGGTGTAAATTGCGGGTGCAACTGGCTGCTTTTCTTGCTGGCACGCAAGCAAATGTCAGGTCTGCTTGAAAAGAATTCCAGCACTGCATCTGCTTCTGTCGCCGCGTCTTTGCAACTCTGGCGTCCCTCTTTCCAACTGTCTCCATTTCTCAAAATGGCCTTGGAGGCAGTGATGAGACTAAAAAGTAATGAACACAATAATAAGAAGAGACTGTAAATCCAGATATTGGCACAGCCTGGTCTTTCTTTCCTTCTTCCCTTCTTCCTTTCTTACGTGTTTACTTTCTGTCCGTCTGTTCGTTTGTCTGTTTGTCCGTTTGTCTGTCTGTCTGTCTGTCTGTCTGTCTGTCTGTCTGTCTGTTTTTCATCTGTCATCTTATTCTATCCTCATACCTCCATTCAAGCTCAGCACAGAAGAATGGGAGTGAGGAGTGAAAAGAGATGAACAATGTCTATAGATGTCCTTCCAAGCCTCTATTTGCTAAGGAACGAATAGGATGACATCCAGAAAGTAAGATAAAGACAATGGCGTGACCTAAAATAATTCACCTGGGGCCTCCATACACGCATTCCACCTGTGAAATGTGGGGTGACCACGCTGTTTTAGTGCGCGAATTAGAAGCCACGTAGTGGCATTCCGTGCGCGCCAGCGACCTGAAAGGAAAATTTGGCCCCATCTGAACTGGGCATGAACACATATTCTCACGACATTGTTTGTTTTGTTTGGTGTTCTTCGAGTTTTTTTTGGTTCCGCAATTGGGGGGTTTTGAGGTATGTTTGTTTGGTTTTCTTCGAGATATTTTTTTCCGCGATTGGGAGGCCTTTCAGGTATGCTGTTTGTTGCTTTGCGATTAGGATGCCTTTCAGGCATGTTGTTCTTGATTTTGCACATGGGTTAGTAACTGTGACGTGCTTTGGACTATCCCATACTTGGGGGATTCCCAAAATCCCCACTCAGAGCATTGATTTGCGGAACTTTAAATGATGAGGGTTGAAAATGAGTCGGCCAAGCCATTTGCCTTGGCGATTGATGCATTCAGCCAGCTTGCCGTATTGGGTTCCGGTTGAACTGGCCTCGATGGACCTCATTTTCCTTTTTTTTTTCAGTTTTAGTTGCGAGGCCCTACAATGAGCCCTGTTTGTGTGGTTCTGTGTTGAGTTGATCTTGGTGTGCGTGTTTGCGTGTGGTTGTTTGCTTGCCTGCCTGCCTGCCTGCCTGCCTGCCTGCCTGCCTGCCTGCCTGCCTGCCTGCCTGCTTGCTTGCTTGCTTGCTTGCTTGCTTGCTTGCTTGCTTGCTTGCTTGCTTGCTTGCTTGCTTGCTCGTGTTTTTGTTTCCCTTGTTTGTTTGTTTGTTTGTTTGTTTGTTTGTTTGTTTGATTGTTTGTTTGTTTGTTTGTTTTTTGTTTGTTTGTTTGCTTGTCTACCTTTGAACTCCCTCACCCCCTCCATCCCTTCCGCGATCCTGATGCCATTTAGCTCCAACTCCCAGCGCGCTCCAACCGCAGGGCCGCGAGAGCCGCCAGAGCATCTTGAGCGCCCAGTCCTGAGCTCTCCGGAATCCGGATCCATGGCAGGCGGCGAATCTGGGGGGATCCACCGCGGCGAATTGGGCTACGAGAAGAGGACCGGAACCCTCAAACTACCCAGCGAAAAAGGGATGTCACCCCAGAATTCTCCATCACAATTCCCTTAAGCATTGGGTATAACCTCAAAGTTGTGGGGAGAAATCCCTCTTTTGATGGGTAGTTTGAGTCCAGTTACTAAAAACGGACCAACTGGGGGAAGAACGGGTGAAATTCACCACAGAAACGCAACTCCAAACCGTGTTCTTCCTTTTTTGGCTGCCTTGCAAATTCGCATGGCAAAAGATGGAAGAGGGACCAAAGGCAATGCCTCCACGCGTGGTGGATTTGGGGGTTTCCATGTTTACCAGGTTGCGCTAAAAAGCCGATGAGACCCATGCCCAAAGGGTGCGACTTGAGCATTGAGCCACAAAACAACAGAGGAGTGGGGACAGGCCCATCGCTTTGAGTTTTTAATGGTGTTGAACTCTTTTCAACGGGTAGGCAAATTGAAAGTAACAACAATAAGCTCCATTCAAAAACTAGCTAAACTTACTATATGCCTCATGCCGTGTCGTGGCTTAGTATGCGTGCGCCGCTTGCATACATTTGTCTCAAGCTTCAAGTTGGTCTATGCTTTAGGGCCACCCGTCTAGCGAACGGATTGTGACCCAGTTGTGCAACGGCAACGGCTGAGGTCATCTCAGGGGTGATCACGGACTGCGGCGACAATGTGGCGCAGGAAGGGCTCGGCCATGGATCAGTTTCTGGGGGGGGTGACTTCGATTGGTTCTCAGCCAGGAATCTTTGATATTCTGGGAATGCACAGGAAGGGGATCCCTGGATTCATTCCTCATCCCATTCCCTGAGAAGCAGCAGGTCTTGCTAAAGGACAAGGTGTGCCGCAACCGAAATACACCCGCTTGTCAGCACCATGGGTCATCAAATGGAAGAGGGCTGAGAGCGGATGATAGAACTAGGATTGTCAAAGGGGTTGAGCGAGCAGGTCATGCATCGCAGAGGTTTGCATTTGACGTGTTGGGGTACCAGGTTTGGACAAGAGTTGAAGACTCCGACTCGACCAAAAGCACCAAGAGCAACAGTCATCTAATGCAAACAGTCCAGAGCTGCAGCAGCCATGGGGGAGTCGTTGGTTTTGGAGCCACACAAAAAATCACATTTCTGTCATCATTTGGACCCACCCCATGTCCATGTGTGTGTGTGTGTGCGTGTGCGTGTGCTGCGCAAACCCAGGTTTGGTCTTCTGGATTGGGCGCCCGGAAGCCTGAAACCCTTGAGCTGAAAATTGCCAGTTTTTGGTGTCGCCCATTTCTCACCAGGAACGGGTCGTTTGCCTTTGACCTCTCTCTTTTCGGGTGGACAGAACACGTACTTTGACCACTAAGCAGTATACAGGCCTGACCAATACCGGCTGGCAAACAGGGGTCGGCCAACCCCTAGTGTGTGTTTTTGAGGCACGCTTAAACCACCATCTCAAGAACCTGCTTCGGGTTTCCCTTTGATACAATTTTCATGGGGCTACCCAGGTACCTTTTTGGGGTAGGTGAATTCACCACCCATTTTAGTCTATTTTAGTGGGGATTGGGATGTTCACTGGCTAACCGGGGTTTTGACCCATGGAAACGGCAGAGCCATGTGAACAACTGCTGAACTTTTCGCCTCGACCGATGGAAGCGACATCGAATCCGCCAGGACGTGGTAGCATTGCTCATGAAGGAGCAGTCCAGGCCTGGCACGCAGGCGCGAGGGCTAAACATTCGGACGTGGTTTTTCGGCTTAGTCGCCGGATTTGGGTCTTTTTTTGGGGAGGACATACCTTGTTCGGGTAGTTTGAAAGGGGAACCACGCCAGAAACGGTCATTTTGGGGCTGCCCCTATGTTGGCACATACCCTTTCATGGAGGAGGCTTCGTCGTTTTGCCTTTTTGTTGGATGGGCGGTGGGACCGGATTCCAGGCCGAAAGCCAACTTCTGTTGGATGTCTGACCTCAACTTCAGTTTGGATGGGTGAATGGTGTACTAAATCTAGTTGCCACCATGTCAAGCAAGCTTAGCACAGAAGCTGAGGTTGGATTTGCGGCGGGAGTACTACACTCAGACATTCTAATTACAGCGAACCATTTCCAAGACATAGGGGTTTCGGTGGGAGACCAGTTCGGACTTGTTTCGGGGATTGTCCCTTCGGGAAGTGGAGGGTAAATCCACCCTACGCCTGGAATTCTGCCTCCAATCGTTGTTTGGCCAAAAATGTGGTCCTCAGAGCCATCAAGGCTCCAGGGCCCAAGGCCAAACGTTTGTCGGTTGCCCACGGACGTTAGGAACCAAATGGCGCGAAGCTTGCCCTTGCCGAAAGGCGCATGTGACCAGAAGCATCAAACGCATCTAACACGTACCTTGCCAGTCTCGGTCTTTCGTTGACATTGCCTCCCCTGATTGGGGAGAAAGTCCCACAGGTCCATCATTCCGGGCAGACATTTGGCAATTGATAACCAGCTCAGCCAGAAGGCCCTGAGGATTCCAACTAATTTCCGGCTCGTGCACTAAAGATAGTCATAATTTGATCAGAATTGTATGCGTTTTGTGGATGGCATGCTTTTCAGCTATGTTGCTTCATCAGTTAAAGGGAAGTCTATGTTGCGAGTTCCTATTTCGACGCAAGTTCGCTTATTGCAAGCGCAGGAGAGCATTATCGAGGAGGACAAAGAGATTGCTGACCTGAAAGACAGGCGCATGGCGGGGCATGGCGCGGCTCTACAAGTAGACTTGGATGGCTGTGGGTGTCAAAGCCGTTTTGGGATACCATTTTGGTTGGTGGGTGAATTCACCACCCATTTTAGAACCTATTCTAGTGGTTGGATTGGGATGTTCACTGGGGGTACGGTTTGGATTTTGACCCACAGCCAGATTTGGTGTGTTGAAGGTACCCTTTTCAGGTTGGTGTTCAGGGAAACCAACAAACCACAAGTGTGGGGTTAGCCAATTTTGACACACAGGGGTTGATCAATATTCCTGCCCCCAAAAGGACCATGTCCTTAAGGTTTTCGAAAGCTGCCCTTGTCTTTGTTTTTCCCAGGGATTGTTGGGATTGGCCAACCCCCGATTTTGAATATTCCTGGATTAGACTTTCCAGAGGCTCTTTGTGGACACGTTTGCCCGCATGTCTAAAATCACGACTGACCTCCAAACGTGGGTAAGCATCACATACTTGGCGTCGTGCTGTTTATCCTTGAGAAGTTGGAGGATTGCGCGGCAACCAAGAGAATATAAGAACTAAAGGGAACATCCCTAGTTTCGTAGTTTCTACGGTGGTAGCTGGGAGCCACGACCTACGCTTTCAAGTGGCTGTGCTGCACCGAATGCCTGGATGTGCAACAGTAGGTGAAGTTCAGGAAAATGAGAGAGCGAGAGAAGGCGTTTGCTTGACTCGACAATTTCCTTGTTGATCTCTAGGAGATCTTGGAGAATTTGGGGTAATATTGCTGTATTAAGGTAAACTAAACCTCTACAGCAAACTTTATATTGGCCGCAATTTATTTGCCCGCAATACTACGTACCGCATGTCCTGGAGAATGTTTGGGTTGCCTATGCCGTGACAGCTGACAGGGATCTTAGGGCCTAGCTTTTGCTTGTTCTAGGCAATGTTGGAATGGTCCTCAACGCAGGCAAATCGTCGTGCTTGCTTTGGATTTGTTTGTATTTGGATTTGAACGGTCCTTCTCTATTCATGGCGGTCCTTTTTTTACCCGGAGCACCTCCAAGTTAGCGATTCGGCTTCAAACCACGAGAGGGAAGCTGAACCAGTCGTGGCTGATCTTTGGTCATGGAATGATCCTACAGAGCCAGCGGGAGCTCGGTCATCTTTCCGAATTTGATTAAAGCAAGTGTTTGCGATGTTACATAAATCCCCCCCCCCAATATTTCCCGTTTGGACGTAAACATCGTCCAGGGCTCTTTAAATGAGTTTCTGGGTGAGGTCATGTCAGGGGAACATATTGAAGCCTTTGCTTTTGGGATCTCAGGGTTTGCCTTTTTACCGTTTCCCTCCTACATCGATGCCTCAGGCCTGTGCAGCAAGTCTTTCTTGGGGCTTCAAGTGTGTCTCAAACCGGGGAAAATGGCGAAAGGGGCAACACAAATCACGATCCTTCCCGCAAAAGAAAGGTCAGGCGTTTCCCTTGGCTACCTACTATAGTATTGACTGAAAACGCCATGTTTTGACCCGCGGGGTCAACGGCTTGCCTTTTGACCTTTTTGGTTTACCTGTTTGCCCCGTCCACAGTGGGGGGTTGCGCTTCGTGCGCAGTCCAGCAACTACGATCAATGAATGCTTTTGTTTCAACCGCATTCAGGTATCCCTTCAATCCCTTGATTGCTGGTTTGGATTGGCTCGGATTTGGATTGGAACCCGTGGTTCTTGTTGAGTAAACGGCTGTGGGTCAAATCCAATGGTACCATTTTGGTTGGTAGCTGAATTCACCACCCATGTTAGAACCTGTTTTAGTGGTTGGATTGGTTGATGTTCACTGGGCCGATTTGGATTTTGAAAAGCCCATGGCCAACTGGGACCGAGTCGGCTCCACCAAAAGTCCTCTGCCAGGTTGAAGTGCGCGATGTATTCCAAGCTCCAAGATGGATCTTTGGAGGAGGCGATCTCGCGCTTGAAACTTGACTGGGTTGGATCTTAGATAACTTGTTGGTTGAAAGAAAGGTGGTTTCCACCAAACCCCCAAAAAGTTATTCACTTCTTGCCTGGGGGTCAACCGCAACCAAGAAAACAAATGACACGCTAGCTTGGTGCAGGTTTCAACACGCAACCCAGTGGTGTTGTTTGTCAGGGGCTTCACAGGTGGCTGTGGTTGTCAAAACCGTTTTGGATTACCATTTTGGTTGGATTGGGTGAATTCACCACCCATTTTAGGACCGTTTTTTTTAGTGGTTGGATTGGGATGAACTCACTGGGGGCTAACCGATTTGGATTTTGACCCACAGCCAGATTTGGTGTGTTGAAGGTACCCTTGTCAGGTTGGTGTTCAGGGAAACCAACAAACCACGAGTGGTTGGATTGGGAATTTGACCCATGGCCAGGTTTCCCGTTGGCTGGCGGCTCTAATATCAAGCCCGAATCAATGAACCTTGCGGATTAGGGGAAGTGTGTCGCCTTGTTTGAAGACCATGTTGGTGGGGGATGCCAAACACCCCATGCGCATATTTAACCACATTGACTCTAAATGTCAATGGTTGATATACAATATATACATATATATATATGATTATATATGTATATGTCTACATACATATATATATATATACATTGTTTTGCCTAGATGCAGGGGCCGGGAGGGGCTTTTAAATCAATACGTCGAAGTGCTCTGATTGAATCCCAATGGCGGCAGGTCAACTCATTTCTCGGTGTCTTTGTCGGTTGGTCCCAAGGAAGCAGAATCGCGAGTAGGGAAGCAGAATTTGGGGCAAGTGGTGAGTCATGTCGGACCTTTGAGGACAATGCTGAGGAGATCAACCTGAGACTCTTGCCATGTTGACTTGGCGGACTTAGCTTTGAGACGGGCATGCGTCGGAAAAAGGCACGTGGACATTGAATCGTCATATCCTTTCCTTTTGATGTTTTGGGGTTTGTGTGTGTGCGTAATCCTGGTCATCCCTGGACTACGCTGCACGGCGAACAGTTAAATGTTTATGTGCGAAACTGTAGAAGTATACCCAACTCGGACACAGTCAAGGTGCTTAGGTGTCCTTTTAGACAAATAAATCGACGGCACTCGGAGAATTGTTGGGGGTCGCGGATCATAGTGTCGGACGAGAAGACACTTATTGTGCTACGGATGTCCTTTATCCACTTTGGAGCCAACGATTTGACAGGGGCTCAAAAATTGACACTCGAACAACTGGTTGGCTTTCCTTTCCGTTTCCTTTCTTCAAGCCAGCCTGCGGCGACACCTGCCCTGTGAATTTCACCCTTCGTACCGTTTCGGGGAGGGGTCCCTCTCACAACAACCAAGCAGGACAGGTCGTCCTGCGACAGCATTCCTTCAAAATCAACCAAGTGGGTCCTCGCGTTGATTCTTGGGAGTGGGTTGCCTTTGAAGTCAAGCAGCAAGGACAGGCTATAGGATGGCATGTTTCAGGATATCCTTTGTTTATCTTTGTTTCCGCTGGTTTTACATCAGAGGGAAACCGCTGGGCAAGTCGCTCGTGCCAGGCGATCGACACGGCATCAACTTCGGGTGGCAGGGGCCTTGCAGGAAAGTGGTGGGGTCGCTTACATCGTTTGAAGAGGTGTCCTTCTTGCCGCTATTGTTACTATTGCGATGTGTCTCATTATGGTTGCTGTAAATTCTTCCAAATGACTACTCGACGACTTCCCCTAAAGCGGGCATTGTTGCTAAAAGGAGCAGATTCGCTCGTCCAGGAGCTAACAGACCCACTCGCCTCAAAACTTTGGGCCTCGTCTCATCCCAGGTGCCATGCACTTCTCGGATCTCCCGCCGTTGCCGCCACCACCAGAGGAGCCGATGCAGAAATGAAGGAAAAACGATTCTTGAGATGCGTCTGCCCTTATTGGTGAGCTTGGGGTGAGCTCCCTCTGATGTAGGTCCTTCAGTTGCGGTGCAGGTTTTGGACAGAATCTGCAGATGGATGGTTTCTCACATTTATGGCGTTCTGTTCAAAAGTGAGACTTGGACCCCAGCAACACATGGTGTCCTTCTAGTTTACGTTTCGAAAGCAGCCAAAAGGGCGTCCCCCCTGCACTTTATTATGAGACATCCAGCGGAGACATCCAGCGAGTCGTCAAGGTTTCAGTTTGGTTTTCTTCAAAAGCCATCCAAAAGATGTCCCCTCAAAGGATACCATGGGCGAGTTCGCAAATCACCCGCTAGAGGATTTTTCTTGTAACGAAAGTCCAGGTGGGTTTTGGATGTATCATTTGAGGCTGACTGGCAAAAGAGGCTGCACTTCCTGAATTCCAGACTCTTGTTTTGCTGCTGACAGTCAAACCCTTTCCTTTTGGGTGGAGTCTCAGGCAAAAAAGGAGAATTCCGCGTCAAACTCAGCAGTCGCTGCATTTCCAGGTCGAGCCCTGGGTGGTTACCCAATGGCTAACTAGGCATTGTCCTTTGTCTTGCAGTATGCAGAAACCCTGGAGGGGTTGCTTTATGTTCCGAAAGGTGGTCAAGACTCTCATGGCTACACAAGCCGTTGATCATTTGTGTCAGAAACAGTTGGACAAAAGGAGACGAAAAGGAAGCAAATGGCCGGGCCCCATTTGGTCAAAGTCTGAAATTCGGAGGGGCGATGTATTCCTTTAATCTACCCTCCTGTCCACGAACATGGAACCCACCAGAGGGTCCATTTTAAAGAAAATGATCTTCCAGAACCCGTAAGTCAGGTTCCATGGTTGTTGGAGGGAGGGGATGACTTGGGCAAAAATCAAAGGACCAGTTTCCCGCAATAGTTTTTCCTTTCTCAGGAGATGGGCCGAGCCGCGCCTTGGATCGCAAGTGTCCGAACACAACTGGTGGAAACAACCTAGTGCTCATATTCGTGCAACTGACAAATCTACTGGTAGTTTGTTATATTGTTGGGGAGGACATGGGGGCGCCACCCAGTTTTCTCCACAAAAACAAAATAAGGGCGCGCACCCAATCTTCCCACGTCCTTTTGGGGAAAAATGGATTTTGTGACAGGTTCGGCCAAGGGTCTTGGGTTGCGTAGGCGTCGACACCTCAACTATATACTCATAGCTATGTAAATGCCGGAGGAACCTTTTGAACAAATAGGTTTCGGGAAATATACCATACACCGTTGTCGGCCAACATGCCCTGTATCGTCTAGTCTGTGTAAGAGAATGGCAGGAAAAGGGGCTCTCAGTTTCCCAACAAAACCAGGACTCACCAAGTCTTCATGTCCATTGCGGGAACATCATCTTTCGACCTTTTTTCGCATGGCACGATGAGCTTGGGGCTTTCTGCAGTTGGGCCAATGCAAAGGGGATCAGGATTTCGGAAAGGGAACATCTGGGTTTTGTCTCAGAGTACGGGACGCCGAAAATCCGCGGTTTCCCTTGGGATTCCCTTGAACACCATCCAACGGCATTCCCTTAACAAACACAAACCTAGCATAGGTGACTTCACCCCGTGGCTTGAACCAAGCGTACCAGTCGTGTTGCAGGAACGACCCGATTGCACCTATTGGTTAGAACACATGGGTCACCCATTTAGTTCCTGTGAAATTGTTGTGACTTCAAGAATGAAGACAGCGGATCCATGCTTCCCTTTTTCTCCGGTAGGAAGTACCGGAGAGGTCCTATCCCCTTCGGGTGGGACAGCAGGCTTTCTCTCAAGAGGACGGGGCAGCTTTTGCGGCGTTTGGGTATGTCTCAAACTCGCGGTGCCCCATGGTCGTTCGCTAACATGTGTTTCCCTTCAAACCAAACCCCAAACATGCCACAAAGCAACAAAGGCCCCATAGAACGGCGGAGGTACAAATCACTTGATGAGGTCCTGTGTGCAGAGAAACATGATGTTGATGTTATTTGTTTACCCTGAAACGCACATTGCCCCCATTGAATGTCAAGCGCTTCGCCAGTCGTTTGTTCCACTGCCCTCGGGTCAGCCGTTGATTGTTCGACGCATCAGGCAGGGGCCAAGGCGGGAGGGCCGACGAGAGTGGATTGAGTTTGGTGCGGGCATCCTTTTCTTGTTAGTTAGGACAGCAAAACGAACACCATGGGGTGTCCCTAGTTTGATACCCAAAAGAGCTGAAGGGTTGCAAGCTGGCAAATTGTTACCTGCAGCTCCAGGGTAGCAAGTTGGTTTTGCTTCTCGGAAAACTAGAGCGTCCAGGCTACATGGAGTGCCTTGGGCTGTTTTGGAGCCAATGAGGTGTCCGAAGATGGGGGAATCTGTGTTGGTTGCTGTTTATGCGGAGACTAGAGGGAAGCCATTTTGAGGGATCTGCTATTTGATACGTTTCAGGAAACATCCAATCTTTGCCAAAAGTCGCACGTTAGTTTGGAGATGCGTTGCTTGGCGTCGCGTGCCGTGGGGTGTCCTTTGGCTCGTTGTTCTGAATGATGTGAGGCCGTGGGTAGGGCATGGTTGATGCCAGTAATTTGATAAGGGGAGTGTCCACCCAAATGCATGGCGATGACATAAATCCCCGAATGATGTGCACAAAAGAGCTACCAACTAAAAAAAATAAACAATGATTGATGTTTCAAGCACCTTGCCCAGCCAAGGTGGACAGGCTTCTGAAAATCTGACATTGTTCAAATGCCACAATCGGCAGGACTTGCGGGCGCCTCACGTTTCACAGTCCGACGCAGCCCTCAATTATTGGTACTGTATCCCACCCTCACATCAAGCCAGTTCCCCTTTGGGCCCCCGAAAAGACCACCTGAACCCTCAAGATTCCCACAAACACGGGTTATAACGTATAACCCACAAATTTATGAGGTGACATCTTTTTGTATGGGTAGTTTGAGGGTCCAGGCTCCATCGTCTCCTGGCTGCGATGTTTTTTTTGTTTTGTTTTTTTTGCCAGGCGCCAGCGCAGTTCCAGCCCATCCAGGAGGCACTGCGTCTCCACCTTGCTGTCAGGATCGAAGGACACCAAACCGATGGTCCGGGGCTTCTTAAAATGGCCCTGTGGATGTGTAGGTGCCCACAAAAAACAGACCCCATCCGGCCGGGCTGCTCCTACACTTGATGTCGTCAACTGTTTTCTTCTTTTTTTTCCCAAGTGAGCCCTCCACATTCAACCACAACACCCGGTTTAAATGAGAGTAAGAGTCAAGGGGTCGCTTTTTGTTCCCTGATTGCTTCAATCTAAGTGGGCTTCTATTGCTTGTGGGGGCCCTTGTTTGACGGGCCCCTTGATTTGCCTCAAATAGTCTTCTTGGGTTCGGAGTGTATGGAGCACCCCTTGGCTCAGATCCAGAGCTCAATACGCTGTTGGGACATTACAGGCAAGAAAGATCGGATCGACCCATCCCCCGGTTGACCGTTACTTTCAGAAGCTTCCCTTCATGGGGAAGCTTCGATTTGTGCCTCAGTATATATTTCACGACGGAGGTTGGTGTCATATTTGCCGGAGCATGCTCGACGGGTACAAGCAACAGTTGACAAGCAAGGCTGCGCTTTTGCTGGCTCCGGATATTGAAAGCCGGCATGGCTTCAGTTGCCCCAGCCCATTTGGGCAACACTAATAGTGATGAAGGTTTCTTCTCTCGGTATCTTTTTTTTTTTTCTTTTGGTGACATACATCGCAATTCCTCTCTAGACCCATGTCTTCTTCCTTTTGGGGGAGGCTTGCTGCGGTCAAAACGACTCAACAAGGGCTTCAACATGAGTATGCCCATCTCTTTTTTTCCAGTTCAAACAGGCCGCCTTTCTTGTGGACAAGGAGCCCCACACGGCGCAGCCCGGTTTTTGGCCTCTGAGGTCAGTTGGTTTGGGTTGGGGACCCCATCGGGTCGGGACCCGCCAGGTAGATGAGGAGAGCTTCGAGGCGGGATGACACGCCATGACCCCATACTCATCCACCAGCCAGGGCAGGTGGCTCTCCCTGCGTGAAATGTTGTTTTTTTGTCTTTTCTGCGGACCCCCCCCCAGTCAGGTTCCAAGTGAGTCTATTAGATGGGAGGGTAATGTTGACTCCAGAAGTTCATCCACCAACCAGTTTGTTATTTTCATAGGGGGGTGCTTCTCCCTGGGTTGAAATCAGGCCACTTCTGGAGGGAAACACACATCCCCCTATGAATAAACTGGGGTTGATGAATATGGGGTCAACATTAGTAGGTTTTAGACAACCTTCGTGCAACTGTCAGGGAACCGTGGCTTGGTTGGATGGCTTGCTTTGGTTTAGCGCTCGCTTGGGTTTGCTTTGGGAGGCGTGGAACAATGGCAATGGCAGATCAGACCAGAAATGCAAGCATCTTTTTCAATGGTTGAAAGCCAGATTTTGAGGTGTGTGCCTTTCTGTTGGGGCCTGAAGAGCCGGCTTTAGGAATCCAAAACAGCCCAAACAATCCCCCCAACTCGTAGACAGCATCATTCTCCGGTCGGATTTTGTTTAGGTTCAGCGAAAGTCTTGCTGACTCGTCACATGAGTCACTGAGAATGGGCCGGATGCGACTCCAGAAGTCGTGCGATGGGCAAGCCTGGAAAGGCCATCATGAGACTAAGCAGAATACCATAGAATACCGCTGCTTTCAGCCCAGATGTTCGCGGCACTGAGTCAAGATGAGAATACGTAGAATCAAATCAATCTATGCCGAAGTACCCTTGGTTTCATCCTGGATGCCCGAGGCGCCGAGTTCCGGAACATGAGACTAGGTCCCCCAGTAGTGCCCTTTTACCGATTCTTTTTTTGGGGGAGGGTTCCCCTACTAGGTACCCTTATTATTCTAACCTCTCTACTGGAGGACCTAGGATAATATGTTGAGGAAAGTGCCGTGTATTGTCAGAGGATTCTTTGGAATTGTAGCCTAAGAAACAACATGGATGTGACACTGATATTGGAGTTGCTCCGTGCTGTTCTTCCGAAAAGTGACTGAGATAACCAATACAATGACGCATGCAATGACACGGGTGGTGCAGCAAGCGTTGCCGGAGTGCTTTGGAAGCGCGCCTGCGGGCAAAATTTTCGTTGGACTCCAATCTGAAGGACTTGAGTCTCTTGAGTTAGCTTTAGCGGGTGCATATGCCATAAGTGTGGCTGCTTTTCAAGCTTTGACCCTAAATTATCTTGGACACAAGTGGTTCCACTCAGCAAACAGTGGAGCTTCGAGGGTCTTGATCGACCAACCCGAGTTGAGCCGCACATATATGTCTGTTTCACTGGGAGGGGAGGGTCTAGACCCTTGAAGCATGTTGAGAGAGCTTCGTTACTTGTTGTGGTTGCTTCCCTTTAGAGCACCCAGTTCAAGGATCATTTCGAGCATGCCAACTTTTTCCCGATGCCACATACCAAGGCCACCGTTTTGGCTTAGTTAGTTTTTGCCAAAGGGGTCTGCCGGAAGCGTTTGGTTTCCCTGTCGGCTGGAACTTGAGAGCTTCGCGCAGGAGAATCTGTCGCAATTGCGGCACCGCACCGCCGGGCTATTGGCCCAGGCACGGACAGACGATAAAAATTGCCAGGGAAGGAGAAACGGAATGATCCCACGGTTCATTCCCAGAACCCGCCCAAACCCTTCATTCGGGAATCCCCAAACGCTGCATTCCCAACACCCTCATTGTCTCGGTCATTCCAAACCTACACCCGCAAACGAATGGAATAATCAAAAAATAACCCAAACAGAGACCCAAAGATGCGAGGGGGGAGGGGGAACATTTTAGCACCAAACACGCCTAAGGTGTCCCTCGCGAAAAGAATCTCCCAATCCCTTTTTTGGTGGCTTTCCCACTCAAAATGGTCAACCCAGATTTGTTTATTTCTCTCGGGGTTGGTGGGCATTTGGACAATTTAGTAGATCACCTGAGTCTGCAAATCACTGGTTTCCAGTTGGTTCCCAAAAAAGCAGCTGAAACTGGACACGTGCTCCATTTTTTGTTCTTGTTACAGTACAGATCTTTATTCGAACACACACCCAAGAGTTTGAAGGTTTGTTCTGGCCTCAGGAGGTGAGGCAATGTGCCGGTCGTTGGAATCAGCTTAAGATCCTGGCATGACTTCTTCCCCCGAATTAGATCCCCTTTTTGTCGTTTTGTTTTTTGGGGTCCCTTTGTTTTCCACTAACCAGGCAAAAAGAAGATGCCGGGGTCCTAATTCCAGACTAGACTTGTGGTCTCTGGTTCATTCAGCTTGCGGTGAAGGAGTTCCTTCTTAGGATCCTACGGAAGTCCTGCAGAGCGGGAAGCTGAACGATGTAGCAAAAGTTTGAAGCACACTTCCTTTCCGTCCCCTTGTCTCCCTGTTCTGCCCTTTATGTTCATCGATTCATTGATCTTTATCTTGCTTGCCCTCCTCTCTATTATTATCTTCCACTTAGTCGCCATATCTTAACGATTTTCTTCCTCGTCGTCTCATGCGCCTTTTGTCTTGTTATATGTTTAGTTTGTATATTTGTCTTTATCGATATTCTTATTGATTGATTCATGTGTATATGTATCTACAACATGTGCCCTTATATGGTTCTGTATCTCGTTGTGTATCATCAGATATTATATATACATATATACATAGATGCATATTGTGCATGCATGCATGTATGCTTGCACGCACGTATGCATACATACATACATACATACATACATACATACATACATACATACATACATACATACATACATACATACATGCATACACAGCTCGTTCTATGCTTAACTACTGCTTGATTGTGTTCATTTATTTAATCAGTTCTTTTGGTTTATGTCCTGTTTTCCTGATTATTTTTGTTGTTATTTCTGTCTTTCGTTATTTATGTGTTCTGTTCTGTATTCATATCTGTCTGTATTGTTTTGTTTATGTACTTATTTATTATTTTGTGTGTTTGTTTCTTTCTTTATTTCTTTTTTTCTTTACTTCTTTCTTTCTTTCTTTCTTTCTTTCTTTTTTTCTCATTTCACTTTGTGGGAAGCTATGTGTGTGCGCGTTTGTCCACGAACCAACAAGATGGAGCACCTCTTCGGGTGCCATCGCGTGGTCCCGTGGGATTTTTTTCCGGGTCGCCGCCGTTGAGGCTGCCGACACTGGAACCCTGGAGAAGATTCTGGGGGAAGTGAAGAAGGACTCTGAATTCATCATGTGGCTGCGAGTTATAAAGGAATCGCTTGGCTTTTACCGGCCAGAAATACCAAGGGGGCCAGGCCCAGGCATGTGTTTCCCCTATGATTGTTTGGGATCTTGTTTGACACTCATATGGCTGTGGGTCACCATCTACCTGGATCCCCAGGTGCCCTTATTTTCCAGCTACTTTTGCCAAATTATGGGCTACTAGTGGATAAAGTGGCTGGAAAAAAGCGGCTACTTGGGTGAAAACCGTTTTGGGATCCCATTTTGCTTGGTAGGTGAATTCACCCATTTAGAACCTATTTTAGTGGTTGGATTGGGATGTTCACCGGGGGTACGAGGTTTTGACCCATGGCCAGCTATTGGTGCCCCATTTGCCAGGGGAAACCCAACTGGTTTCGGGTTTAGGGTTGAGGCCCCATTTGGCCGGGGAAGCCAGCTATTGGTTCCTTTTTTGTTGGTCCACAAACTTGGCCACAGCCGGCTTCAGCCTTCACCCGGGCGAAAGCTTCAAGCCTGTGAATCTTCCCCACTGACGCAGAATTCGCCGAAGGTGTCGTAGCCTTTTTCCTTTCGGCGGGGACGTTGTTTGGGGTATGAGTTTGAGCATGTTTGCATTCCTTTTTGCTCAGTTGAGTGGCTTCCCGAAAGAAGCCTTTTTCCTGGCTGGGTTTTCCCTTTTCTTCCAGGGTCATTGGGGTCGGGATGAAGTGCTTGGTCGCAACCTAAGGGCGGTCACTGCCATTTGGACTGTATATCATACATATATATATATGTATATCCAAAAATACACACAGAAGCCAACTGTTTTTTTGTCCAGGCACAGTCAACCCATACATTCGCACCTTAGGGCAGATGTGGGTGACGTGTTCGAATCGGCCTCACGGCACAGGACATGTTCGTGGAGGTTCGCAAGAAAGTGGCGGGTCTCCTTACTGAGGCCGGCGAAGACCTTCCGCTTCCATGGCCAAGGGCGATGTTGTTGGTTGGCTTTGAGTATCGGGCAAATCTATGCGCAAAACCACACCCCTTCAGCGAGGCCTTGAAGAAACGCGGACTATCCCGTACAGAGGCATCTAGATGTACTTTTGCCTCGTTTCAGGGCTATTTGGAGGTTTTCCAAGCTTCGTTTAGGGTTCTGACAGAACTCAGTTTTGTCATTGGCGGATTGCTGAATCATTCTAGGGGTAACTTCCCCATTCTTTCCACGGATCCGAATCTTTCTAGAAAACCACCAAACATCCAGGAAAAAGGGCGATCGGTTTTTGAAAACGATCGCTGAAAAGAATGGAATCGGAATTTCAACCCCTAGAAAAACCAAAATCCAGGTGAGTCCAAATCCCTAGAATCAACCCCTAGAATCATAGGTGTGTTCCCCGAGACCGGCTTCTCGAAGCAAGTCGACTTGCCCGGGGGTTTCTCGCGACAGATGCAGGCCGCCAACAACGGGAGCTTGGAGAAGATCTTGGAGGATGTGAAAGACGTCAACGAGGAGCCTGGATTGTTGAGCTTGTGTACTCGCTGGCTTTGGGCTTAGGATAGGTCACCTACCTCTTGCTCTTGGCTTTACTTACTCTATCCTTTTCATGTTGTTTTCTCGGCCATGTTTGCAGTTCCAAGAAGATCCTCGTGTTCCTGGTCTTTGGGCAGGTGAGTGCGGGTTGCCTGGCTTGGCAGACCACTTTCCTCCAGCATGTTCGTGGACAGGAGGTTTGCGTAACATGCGCGCAGACAGGTCGAGCGAGCGAGAGAAAGAGAGAGAGAGAGAACAAAGCATAACACGAGATACACGCAAAGCCAACACAGCAAGCGTGCACACACACACACACAGCTCACATGTTGATGCCATATCCCCCTGATGTGTTCAGTGCAGGAACAGCCAGGTGTCCGGCAGAAAGCAGCTGAGCTTCTCAGCAAGGCAGGATCTTGACTCAGGCGAGAGACACTGGAGCCCCAGCCCAGAAAGGTTCTTGTAAGAGTCCCTAGTTCTGAATGCCTTCCTTTGTTCTGGGGGTGGGGCGGGAGGCCTCTGGTGTTCTCCTCACATAGACAACCACACGCGCACACACACACACACACGCAAACAGTGCAAACAATTACAAAACATATTTGTGGCCTGGAGACTTAGACGAATCTGAGATCTCTTTGTGAAAGCAACATGATTTGCTCTTGTTGGGGAAAACATTTCAGGGAGGAATGGACGTGTCTTGTGCATGTTCTGCTTCCGAGCCGTTGTTGAGAGGAATTGGTTTTCAAGTCTGAATTTCGGAAGACATAGTTCAGCAACTCGAGGTTTTTCTGGGCTTGATCTTTGAGCGTTGGTTTTTGATTCAGCCAGGGTTGGGCGAGTTGGACAGTTTTTCGGAGAGGATCCCTGGAAAGCAGTTGCACAACTAGCGAGCCTCGGGACATGTTTTTTTTTTTTTTTTGTGTGTTTTCCATGAATACATTTTTCTCGGTTGTCTCCTATATTCAAACGTGTGAGATGTGGTGACCTGCGTGCATTCTGAGGCTACAGCTAGACAGCTCAGAGCCGAGAAGAAATTGATCTGCAGGCTGCGCAGGACGGGACCCTGGAGAAGATCCTGTCGGAGCGTTTGATGCAGACGCAGGCCTTCTGTGAAAGGGGCGAGAGCGTAGAAGTTTGGTGCGGGAAAAGGAACGGCGTGTTTGCCATGAGGGGCCACCTCAGGTGGACCACACATCCTATAGACTCACTGCCTGAGGTCCTGGACTTTCAGCACTTTTTAGGCTTGGAACATGACAAGAGTTGGGACCTTCTTTTTTTGGCCAATCCGCTCGATTGGAAGTGAGTAGCTTGACAGCAGGCCTTGTGCGCCATGCCCAGCGCTCAAACCCGTTGGGTTTAAAAGCAAATGGTTCCCACAGTTACGCCCTACACGCAATGCCTACTTCTTCCAGGGCATGGTGTCAACCCTGTGCAAAACAGAGGCATGTACCACGGAAAACTGTTCGTTCAAAAGAGGCTCCCAAACTAAAAAGGTATTTGCAGGTAGGGGGGCACCAACTTATAAATTGGCTTGCCTAGAATGTCCGTGTAGCACAGTCAACCGAGTGCAGAACAAGAAGGAATCTTCGCTGCAGCCGACATGATTTCCGCGGGACGCGCAATAACACACGGCGCGCTGGCATGTTCCCTCTTTGATGGATCTGGTAGGCGGGTTCAGCACAGGCACCAGACGTCCGGCAGCGAGCCGCCAACCTTCTCACCCAGGCAGGATCAAGCACTGAAGTTTCTGCGCCTCGACCAGTGACGTGAATGGGCCGCGATGTTCCAGGACGAAGCTTCGCTTGGCAAGGGATCTTTTTCTACTAAGGTATACGTATACGCTCAAAGACATCCCGGGCCGAGAAACCATCGCTGGAAGTCCCCTGAAGAAATGAAGAACAACCTAGTGAGGGATGTGCGCCAGTTTGGCTATTCGAGATTTCTGTTCCAGCCCAACCCAAGAATAGTATGCCAGGACGCGCAACAAACAGACACACACACACACACACACCCAGGCACGCACGCACGCACGCACGCAAGCACGCACGCAAGCACGCACACGCAAGCACGCACGCACGCACGCACGCGCACACACACGCACACGCACGCGCACGCACGCACGCACACGCACACCCACACACCCACCCACACACACACACACACACACACACATCGCCCGCCCGCCCGCCCGCCCGCCCGCTCGCTCGCCGCCCCGCCCGCCCGCCCGCCCGCCCAGGCACAGCTGCACGTGCGCACGCACGCGCGCGTGCACGCGCACTCACGCCTGCGCACAAACGCGCGTACGCACGCACGCGCGGACGCAGGCGCACATGCACATGTGCCTCTCTTGTTCGTTCTTTTTTGTTTTATGAGGCATATAGTGACTTGTGCAAGCAAAGGGAGAGGTTTTGGCTGAACACTTACCTCGAGTCCAGAGGATGCCCTTTCATGTCAGGCTGCGCAGGACGGGACTTTAGAGAAGATCCTGTTGGAGCGTTCGGCGCAGGCCTTTGGACAGCCGCAGGGAGGATGTGGTTTCATGTGCAAGTACGTCAATCAAACTTGGCCCAGCAATGTGCTTGTTTTTTTGTCGGAGTTCCTGGAACTGAAAGTCCTTTGTTGCCAACGGAAGGCTTACTATGTGGGAAGATAAGCAAGTCCAGTACACGTGGTTGGTCCTTAATGGTCAATGAGGTCAATGGTCAAAGGCAACCTCCCATCACCACCCCAGCATTTTATAGGATAATCCCTAAATGAGGCTTTTACGTTTCCGGTGTTGAGTTTGGTCTGGCTGTCTGGAGGGAATCTTTCAAGTGGGTGCATTAGTTGAACTAGGCTGAGGCATGGATGTTGAGGTCGCTACAAGACCATGCGCTTGCTTCTTTTCACTTTCGTGGTTTGGCTGGCTCACCTTGATCCCATTGAGACAACATTGACTGGAACTGTCGGCGAGTGGTGACCACTTACGGTTGGATGAAAGTAGACACCACATCAACATGGCACAATGACCTCATTTTGGTTGGGACATCTCAGTCCCCACATGACGGGAGTACAGTCACCCTGGTGCGCTAGGTAGCCACAGGGAACCAGACTTGTTTCATAGCACACATATCCAGTCTATATGGTCCATTTGGGGTTGGGACAGCGTGGACTCCCTGAATGCAAACCCTTGCGATGTCCACAGGAACCGAATATTTTGACGGCTCGCTCGGCAGAAACCAGCGGAGCGAACAAGGACCTGGCAGAACACCTGCGAAATCTGGCGAAATCGATGCGAGGAGTCCAGAGTACTCTTCAGCAAAGTCGTCCCCAAAGCTTCAGCCCCCATTACAAGAAGGGTTGACCCAATTTGGAAGATGACCGGATCCTTACATAAAGAAAGGTGGTATATCGACCACCAGAATGTAAACGGGGGCCGGAGCTCCAGGCGCTGAATCCTGCCAAAGATCGTCCTTTGGACTGAATCCTCAAACGCCGCCTTGAGCGAATTGGTTTGTTCATTGCAGCGCAGGCACCAGACATCCGGCAGCGAGCCGCCGACCTTCTCACCAAGGCATGATCAATTGGCGTTGAGGTTGCCCCACCCGTCCATGCGACCAGGCATTGAGCGAAGTAGGCTCAACGTGGCTTACCCACGAAGGTGCTGTTCTTGGTCATCCGACAATGTATTTCAGATTGTGAGAGTATGGTGAGTTGTGCAAGTAAAAAGCGGGATGTTACAGGAAGAACCGCACCCTGAATAGTGAAACTTTGAAAGCCTACCCCGAGCCGCGACAGCTTGACGTGCGCCAGGCTGCGGAGGACGGGACACTGGAGAAAATCCTGTTGAAGAGGACGCAGGCGTGGCAAAATCCAGGAAGTCGGGAGGGGCGGGGGGTGAGATTGCAGGTTTTCGCGTTGGAGCAATTACGTTAATCACTTGACACAAGCAATGTTTGTTGGGGCTGTTTGTTGGAGTTCCACCTGTAGCTGAAAGGCTATGTTGTCATGAATGCGGGGGTATCTTGTACGCGGGACTTGCAGAGAGCTGCCCTTGGATTTACGGATCGTTTCCTGCAACAGAATGCGGCCGACCTGTCATCAGCAAGGACTCATTGTAACATCAAGACTTACACATGCAAACACACACACACACACGCAGAGTGCTAGCACGTTCCCCCTTTGATGGACCTGGTGGACGCGTGCAGCGCAGGTACCAGACATCCGGCAGCAAGCCGCCGACCTTCTCACCAAGGCATGATCAATTGGCGTTGAGGTTGCCCCACCCATCCATGCGACCAGGCATTGAGCGAAGTAGGCTCAACGTGGCTTACCCACGAAGGTGCTGTTCTTGGTCATCCGACAATGTATTTCAGATTGTGAGAGTATGGTGAGTTGTGCAAGTAAAAAGCGGGATGTTACAGGAAGAACCGCACCCTGAATAGTGAAATTTTGAAAGCCTACCCGGAGCCGCGACAGTTTGACGCGCGCCAGGCTGCGGAGGACGGGACACTGGAGAAAATCCTGTTGAAGAGGACGCAGGCGTGGCAAAATCCAGGAAGTCGGGAGGGGCGGGGGGTGAGATTGCAGGTTTTCGCGTTGGAGCAATTACGTTAATCACTTGACACAAGCAATGTTTGTTGGGGCTGTTTGTTGGAGTTCCACCTGTAGCTGAAAGGCTATGTTGTCATGAATGCGGGTGTATCTTGTACGCGGGACTTGCAGAGAGCTGCCCTTGGATTTACGGATCGTTTCCTGCAACAGAATGCTGCCGACCTGTCATCAGCAAGGACTCATTGTAACATCAAGACTTACACATGCAAACACACACACACACATACGTACGCACACACACACACGCAGAGTTCTAGCACGTTCCCCCTTTGATGGACCTGGTGGACGCGTGCAGCGCAGGTACCAGACATCCGGCAGCGAACCGCCGACCTTCTCACCAAGGCATGATCAAGTTGCGTTGAGGTTGCCCCGCCCATCTATGTGACCAGGCACTCAGCGAAGTAGGCTTAACATGGCTTACCCACGAAGGTGCTGTTCTTTGTCAGCCGTCAATACCGTCAATGCTCTCAGAAGTCGGCGGGCGCGTGGCTCACATAGCGCTCTGGTTCTTCTTTTGCAGCTTCGTGCAAGACGCTTGACACTTGTGTCAAGGTCAAACACCCTCCCAGTGCCAAAGCATCTCTGAAAAACATGGAAAACAGACAAGACATGTTTTTGCTTCAGCTCACTTTGAACATGCGACGTGTTTCTCACTGAGCCTTTTGTCTTTTGTTGACAAGAGCCTGCTGAGACAGATTTTGAGAGTATAGTGATTTGTGCAAGTACCTGAAGCGGGATGTTACGGGAAGAACCCCAGCCTGAATGGTGAAAGCCTACCCGGAGCCACGACAGTTGACACACGTCAGGCTGCGCAGGACGGGACACTGGAGAAGGTCCTGTTGAAGCGGACGCAGGCCTTTGGAAGTAGCGAAATGGAGAGGGCGGGGGGTCAGGGAGCAGGTTTCGCGCGCGTACGTCAATCATTCGACGAAATGCCTTGTTGCCATGAATGCGGGATATCTGGTAGGCGGGAATTTGAAGAGAGCTGCAGTGGGATTTACAGATCGTGTGTCTTGCTGGTCACAGCTTTGCTACAGGATCATTTTATGTGTCAAATTGCATTGGAAGGACCCGTCTGACCGTCTGATTCCGAGGGCTCGAACTCTTGCCGCCACTGCCTGGATTGGCTGGCATGATTTCTGAAGGCACCGCCCCACCTGCAACAGAGCGTGGCCAACCTGTCATCAGCAAGGACTCATTGTAACATCAAGACTTACACATGCAAACACACACACACACACATACGTACGCACACACACACACACACGCAGAGTGCTAGCACGTTCCCCCTTTGATGGACCTGGTGGACGCGTGCAGCGCAGGTACCAGACATCCGGCAGCGAACCGCCGACCTTCTCACCAAGGCATGATCAAGTTGCGTTGAGGTTGCCCCGCCCATCTATGTGACCAGGCACTCAGCGAAGTAGGCTTAACATGGCTTACCCACGAAGGTGCTGTTCTTTGTCAGCCGTCAGTACCGTCAATGCTCGCAGAAGTCGGCGCGTGGCTCACATAGTGCTTTGTTTTTTTTTTGCAGCTTCGTGCAAGACGCTTGACACTCGTGTCAAGGTCAAACACCCTCCCAGTGCCAAAGCATCTCTTAAAAACACGGAAAACAGACAAGACATGTTTTTGCTTCAGCTCACTTTGAACATGCGACGTGTTTCTCACTGAGCCTTTTGTCTTTTGTTGACAAGAGCCTGCTGAGACAGATTTTGAGAGTATAGTGATTTGTGCAAGTACTTGAAGCGGGATGTTACGGGAAGAACCCCAGCCTGAATAGTGAAAGCCTACCCGGAGCCACGACAGTTTGACACACGTCAGGCTGCACAGGACGGGACACTGGAGAAGGTCCTGTTGAAGCGGACGCAGGCCTGTGGAATGGCGTCGGTTTTGTCTCATTTAGTCTTTGGAGCCACCTTACATGGTTGTTGTTGGGAAACATTTTAGATTTTAGCTTATTGTGGTTTAGTGGGAAATCCCCACAGAACTGCTAAAGTTTATACTCTTGCTCCCCTTTCAACGTCAACCAAGCTTAGCCCCTTCGGCGTTTCGGAGTCAACTGGCATATCCATTAAACCGACCAAAAGGTTAGACCTTTTTGCTCAGGGGCAAGAACAATCCAGTCATCAAGGAGTATCAAGCATTTGGCGCATGCAACGTTCGTTGGTTTCCGACTCCGTTGCCACAATCGGAGGAGTCAAGCTGCGAAACGGATACTTCTAGGTCGCCCAGTACTGCCCGTTTACCCTTTTTTGGGAGGGTTTGCCAACTAAAATAGTTTACAGCAAAAAGGGTACCCTTATTCTAAACTCTCTACTGGAGGACCGAGACTTGGTATCTTTGTGAGTGGCGTTCTTTTGTTGTGTGTGTGCTTGGGTCCCTTTATGTTCCCAAATGCACCATCAAATACACCATGGATTTAATCGATATCTTGTGATATTGTCAGATCATGTTGGTCTTTGTCAAATCTTGCGGTTGAAACATGCTGGATTCTCCGTAGATCGCGCCAGTGGGGTCCTGCGATTCTACCATTTTAGATGTGCTACTGGCTTTGTTTGTAGAAGATCCACAGATAAAACAACCGAATCCACGATTGTTCAAGTGATTGTTCGATTGTCCGCTATTTACAGCAAAAAAAATAAGCTCTGGTGATATCCCCAACAGCGCCACACCCTCAAGAACCCTGGCGGAAGAGCCGCTCTATGAGCTTTTTGCAGAACTCTCGCAGAATTCTTGTGGAAACTTGCCCCAGACCACCCCAGAGCCCATCTGGGCAGAGACCCCATCGCTGTCAGCTGTTGGGTGCCGCATGAACTGGAGACTCTTCCGGCACAGTGAAGGGCCATGTAAACATGTCCTGAAATAGGTGGGGAGCAAACCACCAATCCAAGCCGCCGATCATAGTGCACAGCCGGTTTTGCTTAGGATGTCGCTTTAGCTGCACATGCAGCCATCGGGCCCGACGGCGCCGTCGGGGCCCGACGCTGCAATCGAAGCCTGGGGAGCGCGCAGCCGGTGCTTAGGATGTCGCTTTAGCTGTTAAGGCACATGCAGCCATCGGGCCCCGATCGTTCCTGATCGGGGCCGACGGTGCCGGCCCGATCGGGGCCCGATTGCGCCGTCGGGCCCCGATCCGGGCCCGACGGCGCCGTCGGGCCCCGACGCTGCAATCGAAGCCTGGGGAGCGCGCAGCTGGTGCTTAGGATGTCGCTTTAGCTGTTAAGGCACATGCAGCCATCGGGCCCCGACCGTCCCTGATCAGGGCCGACGGTGCCGGCCCGATCGGGGCCCGACGCAGCCCGACGGCGCCGTCGGGGCCCGACGCTGCAATCGAAGCCTCAGGAGCGCACAGCCGGTGCTTAGGATGTTGCTTTAGCTGTTAAGGCACGGGCCCCGATCGTCCCCGATCGGGCCGACGGTGCCGGCCCAATCGGGGCCTGACCTCGGAATCTCCAAACGCTGCTCGTGTGGAAATCTTGTGGAACCCTCGTCTTGCGCAACCCTTTTGGAACCCTGTGCCCGCAGCCCTCGGCTTCCACCAGCCACGGTTCCATGAGGTTCTGCAAGGGCTGCGGGGTCCAGGGTTCCACGAGGGTTTGCTCATGGGCGGAACACTAAGCAAAACCTAAAACCAATGGTTTTCAGCACACTTTCACTCTCTACACTTGCTCACAGAATCAGACAATGTGGCCCGGTGGGCTTTGGGTTACAAGGTCTCCTTGTGGAACTTCGTGGAACCCTGGTGGAACCCTGGTAGAACTCTGGTGGAACCGTGCTAAAACCCTGGTGTACAGTGAAAGTGTGCTCAAACCATTGACTTTCGGTTTTGCTTAGTGTTCCGCCCATGAGCAAACCCTCGCTGGTAACCCTCTCAGCCCTCACAGAACCTGGCGGAAATTTGGTGGAACCCTGGTGGAACGTTGGTGGAACTCAGGTGGAGCCCTGATGCAACCCTCGTGTGGAAACCTGGTGGAATCCCCCACCTTGCAGAACCTCGTGGAACCCTGGTGGAAACCACCCCGCAGCCCTTGCAGAACCTCGTGGAACCCTGGTTGGTGGAATCCTCGTGGAACCTTACTTCAGGACTGCCCCCGGTGGAACCCTGATGGAACCCGCCCCGGTTGCAGAACCTTGTGGAACCCTGGTGGAACCCTGGTGGAACTCGTGGAACCTTACTTCAGGACTGCCCTGGGGCACCCCCGCAGCCCTTGCAGAACTTCGTGGAACCCTGGTGGAACTCTGGTGGAACCGCTGGTGGAACTGGTGGAACCCGCCCCGGACCACCCCACAGCCCTTGCAGAACTTCGTGGAACTCTGGTGGAACCTTGGTGGAACCCTGGTGGAACGCTGGTGGAATTCTGGTGGAACCCGCCCCGGACCCCGCAGCCCTTGCAGAACCTCGTGGAACCATGGTGGTAACTCTCTGCTGGAACCCGCCCCAGACCACCCCGCAGCCCTTGCAGAGCCTCGTGGGACCTGGTGCAACCCTCGTAGAACCGAACTTCAGGACTGCCCCAGCCGTTGGTGGAACCCTGGTGGAACCCTGGTAGAACTCTGGTGGAACCGTGCTAAAACCCTGGTGTACAGTGAAAGTGTGCTCAAACCATTGACTTTCGGTTTTGCTTAGTGTTCCGCCCATGAGCAAACCCTCGCTGGTAACCCTCTCAGCCCTCGCAGAACCTGGCGGAAATTTGGTGGAACCCTGGTGGAACGTTGGTGGAACTCAGGTGGAGCCCTGACAGATGCAACCCTCGTGTGGAAACCTGGTGGAATCCCCCACCTTGCAGAACCTCGTGGAACCCTGGTGGAAACCACCCCGCAGCCCTTGCAGAACCTCGTGGAACCCTGGTTGGTGGAATCCTCGTGGAACCTTACTTCAGGACTGCCCCCGGTGGAACCCTGGTGGAACCCGCCCCGGTTGCAGAACCGTGTGGAACCCTGGTGGAACTCGTGGAACCTTACTTCAGGACTGCCCCGGGGCACCCCCGCAGCCCTTGCAGAACTTCGTGGAACCCTGGTGGAACCCTGGTAGAACTCTGGTGGAACCCCTGGTGGAACCCTGGTGGAACCCGCCCCGGACAGCCCTTGCAGAACTTCGTGGAACCCTGGTGGAACCTTGGTGGAACCCTGGTGGAACCCTGGTGGAACCCTGGTGGAACCCGCCCCGGACCACCCCGCAGCCCTTGCAGAACCTCGTGGAACCTTGGTGGAGCCCTGGTGGAACCCTGGTGGAACCTTACCTCAGGGCCGCCCCGGACCACCCCGGAGCCTATCTGGGCTGAGACCCCTTAGCTTTCAGCTGTTGGGGGAAAAAACCACAAGCAAACAAAAATTTAGCAACTTAGCAAAGAGCCAATGATTCAAAAAAAAAAGAAGCAGCCGGATCCATGATGGTTCAGGTGTCATCAAGTGATACCCATCTTTGATTTGCGAGTCGCGCCGGCTTCGATTTTTTTTGCGGCCTGGCCTTCGGAGGCCGCAGAGGTCAGGAAGCGTCTTGGCCGGCGGCGGTCTCTTCTCGGCGCGGGTTTTCTTTAAGGCAAGCCAACGGCCAGGTGGAGCTGTCTACACTTCTCTCAGGCTAACATGGAAGCTGGCAGGAGGAGCTTGGAAGACTACTTTCCTTTTGGGGAAGCCCTCTGTCCACTTCCAGGTTTGTTGGCGGGAGGGTAGTAGGAGAAACCAAAGCCTGCCCCCTGCCCAGCTGCAGTAGCTTGCCAGAATCAGAAATCGCCGGGTAGCAGAATCAACAGGCACAGCGCAAGCGACTCGTTCGCGGAACTCGTGCAAAGCTGTTGCGTGCTTTCGGTTTCTTTCACTTGCTTAAGAACATGTTTCAAATTCCCCTGGGTTCAAAGTTCAAAGGGAATCGAGCACTGGAATATATATATATATATATGTATATACATATATATATTATTATTATTATTATTATTATTATTATTATTATTATTACTTTTATTATTATTATTTTTTTATTATTATTATTATTATTGTTGTTATTACTGTTATTATTGGTGTTATTACTATTATTATCATTGTTATTGTCATTGTTATTGTTATTGTTATTATTATTAATTTCATTTGTTTTAAAGTTATTCTTCCAGGGAACAAATTCGCAAAAGGGTGTCCAGTGCCAAACCAGACTCGCACTCCGATCTTGCAGGCAGTCGACCTGCGCCAGAGAGCCGCCTTTCTGCTGTCCAAGGCGATTTCGATTTTTCCTGGGAGTGCCATGGGCTGAGCCATGGCGCCGCAAGGTTAACCTTTCATTTCCAGGTCCTTTGGGTAAGAAACCACAGGAAAGCAGCCATTTTGGGGGGTGCCCTATTTTGAGGCCTCACACGGGCAGATGTGTTCCAAGATCCTTGGGTGAGCCCTGCCTGTTGATTCAGCCTTGGGCTGGTCTGGGTTCCGGAGCGTGGCTCGTTTTGAAGCGTCTCGGATCACGGAGCGAGTCTAGGTCTGAAGTTGAAATGGTCCGTCCATTGCCTTGCCCCTGGGGTTCAGTTACCACTATGAAAACAAGAGAGGTTCATAACCACTGTTTACCTAAAGATTGTCGTCATCCAAATTGGGTCAACCTTTCTTTTATCTTAGAATTGTAGATCTCTTTCCATCTCTATCTTATGAATCATGATTTTATATAAAAATAATATGAAAGAAACCAAATGTAATAAAGAGAAAGGACATGATGAAGAGAATTAGTCTTTATGCTGTACCTCTCCCAACCTCTGTTTCTCCCTTCTGTCGCTCCAGCGGTTAGAGGTGAGAAAGGGAGAGGACCTATATCTCAGGGACTTGACCGTTGGCAGCTCTCATAATCTCTGTTCCTTTCATGTCACTCACCTAACCCCCAGCTTCTTTACCTGTCATTGGCTGGGAGAAAGGATTAAGGGATGCAATGGAGAGTCAGGTAACGGCGAAGAGATGGAAGAGTACAGAGGTAACGGTTGGACGAAGGAATCTCACTCAAACGGGGTTGAACCCTAGGGTTACTCCAATGTGGGCGTGGGTCCAACATAGGGTAACCCCAAAATGGAGCCCTGGTACATGGAAACAAGGACGACAACCTGCGGTGCCCTGGCGGTTTAATTTGACCCATGCCCATGTCAAAGTTGTTGATGTACTTTCTCAGAGGAATCAGGGGTTTGACAACTTGTGTAAGGTCGGGCAACATTCTAAATGAGCGCCCAAATCCCCCCTATTGGCCATTTAGCAGGTGCTTCTACCACTTGGTTGTATGGTGGTTGTAAAGGCGTCCACAACCTTGACAACCATCTTAGAAATCAGAATCAAACTCAATGGGTTTTGGGTTGCGCTCTCTCAATAGGCCCTTCACATCCCCTTCTGGTGCTTGCCAATGTAACCTCTAGGAAAGGCTAAGCGAAAAGAAGTTTCGGCCAGGGGTGATGCTCATAGGTGGGACCTGTAGGGATGCCCATTGTGGAGTGTGGCTGGATGTGTATTCCTCCCTTTTGGTGGAATGCTGTTGGGACTCTTCAAAGAGCCAATGAAGCCGGCGCTTCGTGAAACGCGCCTGTGCCATCCGACGCTTTAAATGCTGCGACAGTACCAAGTGGGCGTTTCTGTTGTTGTGACAGGTTTTGGGGTTGTCGAGGGAATCAAAGTGAACACCCACAAAGGTTCCCTGAAAGGAATTCGCCCTCTCGGCCACATTTCTCTGCGTTTTCCATGGAGGCAAGCCAGGTTGAATTTGTTCACGCATTGACATTTATGTCTTTGCTCTTTGATCATGTGATGCTAAGGGGTTACATCTATTTGAGTAAGCTTACTTTTTGGTTGAACGCTGACCCAGATTGCCACTTGAACAGCGCCCAAGCCCCCGATTGGCAATTTTAGTAGAATAACATGAGAGGTGTAGTGTTTCTAGGGGTTGATTCCCCTTTCTTTTCAACCATCGTTCTTTAAGAACCAGCCGTTATCCTGGGATTCCGGAGGTTGTCTAGAAAGAAGGATCCCTGGAAAGAATGGGGAAGCTACCCCTAGAGTGTTGCTTCTGTAGGTCTGATCCATCTCAGTAGACTCAGAAGTCGCTGGATTCTGCGCAGTTTTTTCGTGGCTTCTTCAGGCGGCGGAGGATGGAACGCTGGAGAAGATTCTAGCGGAAAAGAAGGCGGGGCAGTGCATGCGAATGCATGTTCAGCTCACTTTGACGCGGGGGTAGGGATGGTCCACCCTTTAGATTTTTATGCTGCCAATGTTTATGGATGCGTCTTTTTCGGTGGGACCCGTTAAAATGGTTGGTTTCCTTTTGGCCCACAACCCCACAATGGGTACTCCACCCCCGCCCCAAAGGCAAAGAAAACAGGAAACGTACGCAACCATGGAAAGGGTTCTTTGCAAACTTCCCATTGCTGGGCTGGCAAGGCCCAGACAAAGCCGTCTTATGCTGTATCTAACAGAGCATGGTCAATCAAATGTACAGCGGTCACCAGGCACATCTCTTCTTCCACTTTTCTCACTGAACTCATTGGGGGTCAAAGCCAATGGGATCCCATTTTGGTTGGATTGGGTGAATTCACCATCCATTTTAGAACCGTTTTTTCAGTGGTGATTGGGATGCTTACTGGGGGCGAACCGATTTGCCACTTCCTCCGGAGCCCGGCTAGAAACGCAATCTGCTCCGAGAATCCAAGCCTTTTGGAAGCCCCACGACTACGTTGGCGGGGTGCAAGGCGTTGGAATGTCATGGAAGTTTTTGGAATTTCATGGAATGTTGGTTTTTCATGGAATGTTGTATTTTCATGGAATTTTGTTTTTTCATGGAATGTTGGTTTTTCATGGAATAATGGAATTTCATGGAATGTCATTTCCGGATGCACGCATCACCCCGGACGGAGTGAGAGTGGGAGGGGAAGAGCAAACCTGCGCGCCCTCGTTTGCTCTTTCCCTTCCCAAACACCCTTTGTTTGGTTGTGGTCGTTAGTTGTTTTTTCCCGATTAGATAGCTTATTTTACAGTTGTTATTCATGTGTTGTTGCTCATCCATGTTGTTGTGTTTTGTTCAGTATGGTGTATTTGCTTTTGCCTGGTACTTTGTTCGTTTACCTGTGTGTTTGATTGTTTTTGTATGCTTGCGGCCCGAACACCGGGTTTGACCGCGTTTTCGTTATATATTTTTTGGAGTTGGTGTTTTGGCCACTTGAATGGGCGGTTGGCCTAGGCGAAACGCAAATTGGTTGCACTGAAAGTACCTCCCGCCCGGGCCGTGTTTTCCGGGCCGGAAGGTTCTGTTGTTCACTTAGTGTTTCCCCTTTTCTGAATATAAGTTCATACACACATAAGTGTACCCAGGTGTTACTTTATGGTTTGATGAATCAGAGCTTCCTCATAGCTTCTTTGGTTTTCCGGGGCGGTTGCTCCCCTTTCTATGCGCGACTGTGGTTGTTGGTCCTTCGAGCGCCACCGGTTCAATGCTTTGATCCTCGCTGAAAACCGCGGAAAAAGGTCCGGGAAATGGTTGGTTTCCCTAAGCCAAGCAAACAAGTTGGCCATGGGGTTTATACCTGGACCTTCCGAAAGTCGAAGAAATTATAGGCGTTGGCCAAACATGTATTTTCGTCGTTGGCGTGGAAAAAATGCGTTTAGAGCGAAACCAAAACGCCGGCGGTCATATTAGTGTCATATTTGCTTGCGCCGCGGTCGGGAATGTTCGCCTGTTTGTCGGGAATTTTCGCCTGTAGATTCGGGGAGATTGCGCTTAACACACACATTGAGGCAACAAAAAGGCCGTAGGCAAAACACACACGCAATTGCCCCAAAAGGCAATTCGTAGCGAAAAGGCACAAATTTTGAGCATGCAGGAAGGTCCAGGTATATTGGTTATGGTCAAAAGACCCCTTGAAGCTTTTACTCTAGGTTGTTAGAGAGGGGCATCAATCCTATAGATAATAGGCATCCATCTGACTAGTAGACTGAGTTTTGACCACGACACATGGGACAATTGTGCCGAGCTTTTGTGATAACAATCTCACCACAAGCTGTCTTACCCGCAAAAATCCATGCTGCTGTTTTTTTGTGAACTACCCAGGGTCCTCCATGTACTTAAGAATATTTGTTCACTTCCCCTTGTTGGTTTTTAAAGATAATCTATCACTACTGTAAATATTTTATATTTTTTCCTGGGGCCTCAACCAAATGGAAGGGGGTTGAGAGGCTGTTCGCCCTTCTAGGTCCCCCCAGTAGTGCCGTTTCTATCCCCTTTTTTGGTCGGGAGGGTTCCCCTGCCAAAATAGACTACCGAAAAATAAAAATAAAAGAGTTGGTACCAACTTATTCTCACCTCTCACATCTGGAGGACCTAGGCGTCCTCTACGGGTCCTCCCTTGGGGGCAGCGGATTTGCAGCCCAGGCGCCAGCCTTGGATGCCAGCCGCGCGCGGGTGGCGCACCTCCTGAGCCAGGCGAGGAACTCGTAGCGAGCCCCCCCACGTCAGGTGACGAGGGGGCTACAAAGAAGAAGATGTTCAGCAGAAACTTTGTTGTTGTTGTTTTTTTTGGTTTGGGGGGGGGGCTTGGGCTTGTCTTCAAAGGGCAATGAGCCCCTTTGGCATGGTTGATGTTGGGAAGACATGATACATTTTTGCTTATTGTGGTTGAGTGGTTGAAATCCAACCACTTCACTGCTAAAAGTTGATTTGTTGCTCCCCTTCCAACGTCGACC